ACCTTTGTCGTGTGACGAATAACCTATTTAAGAAGCGTAGAAGAAGATAATAGATTATTACGTCTGTTAGTGGCCGTCACAACAACCGTTATCTACGATTTCATCGCGTGGATTGCGGAAATTGATTTTTTGTTATCAACGGTAAATAAAGGAAAGGAATAAATAGTGGGCTAATAAATCGTAGTCGGATGTTTCTAGATTTATAATAATAGCGCGCTGCATGAAACACAGCCGAGGGATATATATCGAAGCATAAATCATAGAGCCCCCCTGCTGATCTTCGGACCTTTTCTACGACCTCATCATCAATTTCTTCCCGTTATCTCCACCAAGTATACGACCAGAAGTTGACATTAAGCACTCCATGTGTCATCGCGATGGCCATGTCTCGGCTCTCGTAAATTATGCATCAAAATAAATTTTGCAAACACGTCGCAACAAGATGCTTTATCTATCACTGAGGAAAAAAAAATGCGAAAATCGCAACCTTTCGATTGCGAATATCGATTGAAAAAGATTGATGGTTTGCTATAAAAACGGGATAAGTTACAAGAATTAAGCTGCTGAAATCTTATCTTTTTAATAAATTGGTTGCGCAATGTAATCGATCAGAAACTTACTTATATCATGACAGTATCTTAACGTCTGTGCAAAAATTTCATGTCGGCGAGTACGATTCTATAATTATAATAGATACAAAGGAATTTCCAATTATACTTTCAATTAGAAGTATTTCGGCGCTCTACTAACTAAGTTAATTTAAAAACATTTCGAAGTATCTCGGATATTTTTCGGCTATCCTATAACACTGGATAAAGTGCTTGGGTCTCGCACCCAGGCCTTCCGATTCGAAATCGAAAGATTAAATCTAAGGTCCCGGCTTGTGGCCAGCCGAGGACAAGCACCGGGAATTGGAATTCCTAACGCTGAACTAGCGGGATAGGAAGTGGCCAATAGGAAGTTCTGTCCCTTCGACGCCGGGGGTTGGCGAACGCCCCCGCCGCATGCAGGAAATGTATCCAACGGGCATGAATCGAAGTAGCAATGAGAAACGGAGTCGAATAACAGCGAGCAGATCGGTGACCGTTGCTCTCTTGTCGTGGATTGTTACAGCGTGTATTTTGTGCTGTCGCCACGCAGAGTTATTCTATCCTTGCAACGAAAATGTAATTTATAGAAAGTTTCGAAAAAGCGCATTGCGCAGTAGTACAATCTTATTTGTTACATTTTTATTTTGGCAATAAAACAGTTATTGATAATAAATGAATAAAAAATGTACTCGACTCTTTGTCAATCATAAATTTAATTTCCCGGCTGGCCACCAGTCGAGACCTCAGATGTAATCTTTCGATTTGAAATCGAAAGACTTGGGATGTGAGAGCCAAGCACTTTTTCAAGATTATAAGGGAAACCTGATAGGACACTATCTTTTTTATCTGAAATTTATGCTTTATTTTTTCTCCCTCCTTACTTTGAGCGCTTCAAAGTGGTTTTACGCTTTTCACGACATAATCAACAGCCGAATGATCTGTCGACTTACGTCTTTTTAGTTCTTTGCTCGACTGTTTAACTGTGGAGGCATTGAAAAGTTGAACTAAAGAACGTCCAATTTTCTCTTTCAAGAACGTTACTTGATATTACATCTAAAAGTGTCGTCGTGGTTTCTGTTAAAACCGGCTGTCCGTTATGGTCCTTTTCGTCTACGAAAAGATTAAAAAGTCGTCGATGAAATAAGATAGGAAAAGAAAAATTTCTTGCGTGAATCAAAAGAACTCCCGGATAATCATTAAACCACCGAAGGACGGTTCTTAACACGGTCGACGCCTGCCATTGGCGCAATCTGACCTGAGTTTTATGATCCGCTCCTGTGGTATTTCATTGAAAAATGCCAGGCTCTTTCTCGCGGTGGCTGCCGGAACGAATGCCGGGATTAAGACCGGTGAAGGAGATCTCGGAATCTCCGTGATTTTTTTGCGAGCCGACCGGAAGGAAGATCCGCGGCGAGTCGGTCGGACAAGAGACGGCGAGAAGGAATCCATAGAAGAGAATCCACGCCCGCGAAGTAAGGACGGAGAGAAAGGTTTTACTAGAGACAGTAAAACTGAAATGCGAAAGAAAGTGATGACAAAAATAAAAAGTTGAGAAAGGAGAGGCAGTAAAAGGGTTGATGGGATATCAGTGGAGAGGAGAGAGGGAAGAACTTAAAGCATCGGGAAGAATTGGAGGTGTAAGTGGGTGGGCGAAGGGACAGTAGTACTCGAGACGGTGGGAAGGAAGTAAAGAAGCTGTAAGTCAGTGGGCGGGGGGCGGTGATCGAGTGGGACGAATTGACAAATTCCAAGGCGATCCTGGAACACGGCCAGGATCGCGATTTCTATCGGCGGGCGTCTCGGCGACAAGCAGAAAAGGAAGGATGCGGGCCGGAAGCACGGTTACGCCGATGCCTAGAAAGATTCGATAACCGCGAATAATGCTTGGAAAAACTTGGCAGTGAAAAGTATCCATCGGTATTATTTTTGCGGCATTTTTGTGGCGCACTCTAATTAAAATCTGCCTTAATTTCCACTCGATAACATCACGCTCGGGCAAAATAGCAAACAATTTGGACCTAATTTCAGGTTGTTGATTTAATCTGATTGAAATACGAATAAGAACATAAATAGAAAAGAGATCGCAATTCAGAAATATATATATTAATATTTTCAATATACAAAAATTTTTAGTAAAATATTCAGAGATTTTTAGAATATATCGTGAAAAAGCAAATATTTTGAAAATGAAAAATTCCAACAAATTTGATAGATTTACGTTTAAAATTTGATAAATTGCGTTTGATAAAGTTGCCAGAAATAATGTTTTGTCAAAATTTATATTTTCTGAATTTTTAATGAAATTATCATACACACACGAATAGAGTTATATATAAATACATCATTTTAAAATATTTTTTATCTTTCATGTTTTAATGTACAAATCAATAATATCGCATTTCACTGTTATGCAAGCAGCGCTGATGCGAATAATGGGGAAATACGTACATTAATGGACTGAAAATTCAAGAGTTTTTGTTTTGCCGGCGAGAGGCCAGAAGCTCGTAAAAATATTTTACCCGATTAAGCGGAAACTTTTTTAATTGGAAAGCGAAACGCGGCAGGACGTCAGAATAATACCGACACCGATGGAGAAGTTGTAACGAACTGCGTTCGCGAAAGGCTACTGTCAAAACAAAGAAGCAATTTACCCGTGGAATCGTTGAATTAGGTTTTGTCATTAAGCAAACGCAGTAAATGGAAAAGAAACTTAACAATGTATTTATTTTTAATTTTCGGAGCATCTACGATATACCATAGCAAAAAGTACGACGAATAAAAGCGACATGCTTAAGGTAGTTCCAAGAATTTTTCAATTATTCCAAGTATATTTGAAACTTTAAGAAACTTTAAATGTATGCAATGTTAGATATCTTTCTGTAATTTTTTTCTTACATAGTTATTAAAATATCCTTTATTTAACATGTTATTTACTCAATGCTTTTCATAGGCTAATCACACGAAAATCAGACAATTTTGTTTAATTATAAGAAAACTACTTTCGAAGTATTTACAAAAGACTTGAATATAATTAGATAAATATGTTATAAGAACCATATTTGAATTTCGCGAATATTTACCACGTTATTGTGTTCAATCATTTTTATGACAGAAATGACATAATTTAATATCACGCATGGAGAGCAGAAAGACAGCAGCAAGAAGTATATTGTTATTTGCATATGAAAGATACAGTCAAGTAAAAAAAAATTGTTTTATCTGTTGCTTTCTATCATATTAATTTCTTTGTACACATCTGGTCCTACTTATTTTCTATATTTTTGATAACAACTGTACCGTTGCAACTACTTTAAGAACACGATCGATGAACTATTCAATTTAAATGTAATTTTGTCTGATTGAATTTGTTGTCATTTATATATAATATAAATATGGACAATTAATAATTGATTATAAGAAACAATGTGCACGATAAAATTAAATCTATCAATTTTAATTCATTTAGCAAATTAAAAGGCCGACTTGAGACGAAAAATAAAAATTGATAACATCGATGTAGTTATTCGGGGATATTTTAATTTCATCCTGGTACAAATCGCAGTTATCTACCACGTATTCGCATATGTAAATGCGCGAACGCGACATCGAAGCAGCGAGCACTGTAAGAGCCATTAATAAGAGCCGCCTAATTTCACGAAAGCCCGGAGGCTCCAACTATTATCTGGGAAACGTAACTCGGTCGAAGAGCGATTAAACGGAGGCCACGAAAATACGTCAACCCGTGGCGGCCTGCGCTTGACGGAAAACCTATAGACGGAACACAACCATTAATGAAATGACAAATGTGTTCTTGTCGACGGAAGACGCGCGCGCACGGACTTTGTGCGGAAATCGAATATTAAACACCCCGATTTGCAAGTCGTTTGAGCCGATTCGAGAATCTCTTGCTAATTTCACGATTGCCATTTTGACCTCAATGAATTGTAACGCCAATGAAGCAATTAAAAAGTAATTGAAAAGTCAAAGAGCAAAATTAATTGTACTCGAAAATGTGAACTTTTTGGGAAACGTAACAAGCTTTTCATTCCCGAAAATTAAAATTATGTCAAGTTGAAAGTTTTGCATTTATTTAATCTTCTGCACAGGTAATTTTTATTATCAAATTTATATAAAATTCCTATATTACTTTATTCGTTTTAATTAAAATGTATATTCAGGAGTTTTCGAATTGTGCTAGAAACATCAACTTCTTCGATGTAGATAGACATTGTTTAAGATCTTATTTGTAGAACAAAAAAATCGCGAAAGTTTAGACTTAATTGGTTTTTCTTTTTGGCTCTTCAATTATTGTGCCTGTCACTGACGGATTACTCTGTCGTTTAACTTTACTTGATAAATTGTACAATAAGGTTCTATCCGAAAAACGTAATAATCTTGATGTAATTTCAGGTGAACTGCCAGCCGCCGTGCATGACGGCAACGGAGTTTCGAGAGCGTTTCTTAATCTTTGGCTGGTTCACCTCACGATGAGCTACGTCTTCACCAGATGACAGTACTAAGGTAAGCACAGACTATGATTGAATGTCTATAGAAAGTCTATATGACGATAGAAAGATATTTCTATCAGACCTTGTCAATATATCTTCTCTTTAACAAAAATAACGAGGTATATTGTCATGAGATGCATTACCGTTTTATGTACCTCGTATGACTCAAATGTCGAAGAAAAAACACAACTTATATCATATCATAAATAATGAGCAGAATTCTTAAAAATATATATATATTTTCTTAATTTTAATTAATAATTCCTTAGTTTTGTTAACAGACTCAATGTCCAGTTTAAAAACTGGTTATTCATTTGACTTTGGCAAAATTCAAATCCTAAAGTTATGTAAGATATCCACATTGCAAGTTAATGCAATACGTATATATAAAATACATGATTCTTGTTTGTCGCGCGTGACTCGGCGTGAAACAGTTTCTGAATGCAATTAATGTTTATTTTAATAAGTTCTTTGATATTAGATTTATGATTCATTTCAACATGAACATAACATCTGACATTTTTTAATATCGTTAAATTATTTGTAATTATATTTGTGAGAAAATAATGAAACATGCTTTTTGTTTTCCCATTTTGGTATTAATAATGAAAGCGTAAAAGCGATTTTGTGAGTGCAGAATGTGAAAAGTTAATTTTCCTATGAAATTCTCAAAATAGCATGCGAACGTTCTCACAAGCTAAAAATGACTCCACGGATCGTTAAATAATTGCACTCCATAATCCGCTACTGCGTGATTGGCATGGAAATTTGTTTGAAAATAGTGCACAGCATTATGTTAAAAATCGCCATGATATTATTATGAGCTCTTATAATACAATTATGATGCTGCGTTTATCTATCGTAAAACCCCTCTGCAAGTTGAACAATTTCCATAATCATTAGTTTCATAAAACGCTTTAGGCAGTTGTTGATAATAATGCTTTAGCCTTCTGGAAAATTTTCACTGGGTGGTTTCTGACCTCTTCGAGTTTATCATGCCTGTCTCGTAGATTTTTCTTTCTTCGGCATGCCGGCCATATCCTTCGTACCTCACGATACAAGCTGTCTTTCTTTTCCTCACATCACTAGTTTTTTTTTTCCTTCGTGCAACCACCTAATCCGAGTTTCAGATGAGTTCTCAGGAAGCCCATCGACTTATAAGAAGCTCGCACCCGGAGAGTTTCTGGGTTAACGCGAAATCTACATCTCTCCGTGAAAGAAAAGAGGAACAAAAGGATCACCTTGGCTCTTCCCGGCGATACCAAACCTCCTACGATAGCGAATCGATCGACATAAACGTTGTTTCGAATAACTTGGAATCAGAAACAGAATTCTATTTATTCTAAAAATACTTAGAGAGAAGAATAAAAGTACTGGCAAAAGTATCTGGCGAATGTTTTATTTGCAAAATTAAACATACAGAATACGTGTTTTTATTCTATTGTGCTCAAATTGTCATCATTATATTATTTAAGACAATTTTTGCGATCTAAAATTTTACCAAAAGCTATATATTTTCTTTCAATTTTAGATTATTGAGAATTTTAGAATTAGATCTATGCTGTACAATAACAAAATTTAGTGCTTGTTATATTAATTACGTCATTTTGCACAAAGTATAAATACGTACATTTTATTCAAAATGAAAATTGAACAATGCATGGCAAAATACAAATAAAATCACTTGCTTTTTTTATTGCATAATAACGTCCGTCATGCACGATAATGTATGTAATTTCTTATGCATTTTAGTTCCGGCTTGCTATTTTTTCGCCGAGCCTTTGATCTCAAAGTTTTCCGATTGATTATGAAGTCTCTTCAATTAAACTGTAACGATATTAATAAAATCTCGTACCAATTTTATTATGAGCACCAATATTTTTGACGATACATTAATGAAATCATGTGACCGGGTTGCCGTGAGTTATCGGAAATTTTATTAGAGCTACGTAATCCGATGTTCCGCCGATGTGCTTTTTTTTCTACATCGTATACGTAATTACAAGAGGCGCTAACTAATTAAAAACGAGCTAACTGGGGCACGCGTAAATGAGATGACGCTCTTGAAAAATTATTGTTAGGACGGCAAATGTGGCGTTTTACAAACTTAAATAATCGCATTCCAACTTTGTTCAATTAATCCCAGGTGGAATGTTTTACGGAATTCCCAATAAAATGATGCACTTTTTGTATAATTTCTGCAACACTAACGCGTAATTAATTAAGTCGCTCATTTTGAAAGCGATGTAAGTAAAATGACGTAAGTTGATTAGGAAAATTGCGTTAAAAGATAAATCATTAATTTATATCTGCGTGTTGTTGCAACTCGAAATGTTTTAAAAATAGATTTATACCGCTGCCAAAATGTAAGTAGGTCGCTCATAACGACTCTCACGAATCAAAGTTTCATGCGCGAAAATTTTTGCCTTACCGGATAATTTTGCTTTCCTACGTACTTAATATTATTACGTATAAGAACTACATGTCAACGCAAAAATTCACAATTTAAACAGATGTTTATTATTGATGATTTTGTGTGACTGTGTCAAGCGTTTTCAAATTAAATTCTACGTTGAAGCATATACTCGTCGTATTACCGTATTGGATGTTTCGTAATTTTCACATCCACGTCAATATAATTTTAAAAAACAGGAAGTTGTTCTTCGTTTAAACTGTCATATCAGAAAATAATCGAACGTATTGGCTCGACTTCGGTTTATTGTTGATACAATGAATTAAAACAGAATTTGTGCTTGAACTTCATTGCAGGGTGATATATCATAATTGCTTTTGTAAAATTTAATATTGCACTCCGATATAAAAATAAAGCAAATATTATACGCAAGAATTTTTTTCTTTGTGATTTTTTTTATATTTGTTCGTTACTTTGCAATATTATCGCGTTAGATAAATTTTCTGCAAATCGTATATTTTAAGCGCGCGCTTGACGGATACGTTTTATAATAATTGGAAGTTTTAAAATTTTTATTATCAAAAATATACTCTCTCTAAATATTTTTATGTGATTGAGTAAGATAATTAATATATTTTTAATATACACATAATGTATTAAAAATATAGGAAAAACTTAACGTTCTTTTTTAATAATTCTTTCCACAACAACAATTTACTGCGTTAAAGGGCGCAAAATTATTCATTACATAGTATTATCGCTTGTCCACTACGCGACATCGATACATCGCGTGTATTGCCGGACCTCCTGTCGTTATCGCGGAACGAATGGAGTTGCGGCATTGCGCGCCACGATAATTGCAGGTTTTCGCGCGTTCGTCATCGAAGCGGCGGAATCGCGCGACCACGTCATAAAGTAAAGCTGATGCCGGACCATCCATATCGCGGCACCCGAATGCGTAACGTAAATTAACCGATATTCATAATTCAAGCTTTTATCGTCGCCGCGTCGAATCCCCCATTGTGAAGATATAATTTCGCGATGAGCCGCGGGAGGAAACCCCGACGGGGGGGGTTGGCGAGGTGACGGGAGCGGAGGAGAGGGGGTTGAATGCTGCGGCATTGCCGTATGACGGCTCTCGCGGAAACTATAGCTTATACGGTATAGTTTCCACCGCGGTATCTCACCTCTGCGCTTTCATTATCAGCCGCCATAGATCACGGCGTGAGCTCCCGTGACGTCACATCCGTCCATCCCTCATCGCAAAACACCGCTGTTGTACCGCGGGGGTAATACACAACGAGAAGGGGGTATTTCTCTTCCCCTCTCATCGCCGCTCGCCCAACCGCCGCCCTGTCCCTTTGCCCTGAGTTCCGACCGCCAGCCCACAGTTGCTCCGCGCTTGTCTCTATCACTCTCGCGCGCGCACGTACGGTTTCGATCGCTCGAGCACCGACAAACCGCCGAATTAAATCCGGTGACATCCTTCACTATCACGAAGTGTGTCTGACGTCGTGTGTAATTTGCCGTGTGTGCATATGACGAGAGGCGCGGTGCCGCGCATGGCTTTCCCGCCGCACCGCGTTACGCACGCGATCCGCAAACTGAGATTAATGCCATCGCCGAGATAGAGTCGTAGAATCATTGTCGTGTGTACGTGTTCTCCATATTCGCATTTCGGGGAATGCGCGGCTGGAATTCGATGCGGGTGGGAAATTTTTTCCGAAAGTGTTGTAACGCGAAGCTGCGCGATTTTATTCAACGCGATCGCTATTGCGATGATTTTATTTACCCAAGTTAACCAGTTCAATTGAAACGGTATCCGGAAATACGTACAACCAATATTATTACGTGATTTGGAATTGGGATTGGAAATTTTTATTTTAAACGTGCGTAGACCGTAGGCAATAGCAATGGTTAAAAAGAAGAGATACGTGCAAGAGCGATGTTAAAAATAATATATAAATTTTGGATTTTTTAGTAAAATAACAAATATCGCTAATAATGCTACCACCGAAACTATTATTATTTGTATATGATACAGGTATATCCACACTATTCTTGAATATGTGAAAAAAATGTTTACGCATATCAAAGACATGTTAGGCATATGTTTGAATCAAAAATAACCTTATTATTTTATGTAAAACATCATTATTCAAGTGCAACGAATCGAGCCGTAAAATCGCAAGGCAGGTGTCCACTATTATCCGATAACGTGTGGTCTGTGCATGACGTCTGGCGATTTGAAAATGACGTTCTGCCATGCCATTCGTTGAATATGTCATGCACATACGTAACATAAATACATGGCCTCACTTCTATTTAATTAAAAAATACATGCACTAAATATTTTCAGCGTGCGAGCACAATATATTGGTAATTTTATTTTTCGAATATATCTGCATTCCTGCTTTTCTACAGTTGGAAAATTGGTATTTATTTACATGATCCTTTATTGGCTCATACTTTTATCATTTCCTACTGAACTTTCACGGTGAGAATATTCTCCTCTTTTTTGCACAACAATATTATTATTAGAAGGCATAAATTTCCTATCGTTAATTAAGTTATAGTAAACCCATTTGAAAAAAACAAAC